CATGGGCTTAGTGGTGAATCCTAACCCTAAGACTCTCTTCATATCTCTTTAATTCTTAGTTTAATGTCATTTCTATTTTCATGCTTTTAATTGAATTTTAGTTTAATCACTCCACCAAAATATTTTTCTCTCACACTCTTTCTCTCTCTCTCTCTCTCTTCTCTCTTTTACAATCTAATTAGCATTAAAATCAAGTTTAGTCCCAACACGTGTTCAATCCCTTGGGTTCGATCCCTTCTCACTTCATACTACGTAGTATAAGTGTCTAGCGGTTTACAAATGTAAACTATGATGCCCGCTTGATACCATTTCCAAAACCAAAGTGTTGTGTATTATTTTGTGCACACGCTTGGGTCGCATCAAATATCATAATCTCTTTATATTCATGAGATAAAGAGAATATATATTCTAGCCGACTTGAACCATAAATTTAGGATTGTATTACACTCAATGATCAGGTGCCCATGGCATTTTTTAATCACCTGACTAATTACACTCAGTGTATAAGTTTTGGGTATTAATAATATATTCTTTGTTTTCTTTTACTATAAATTACCCACAGTACAAATAATCAAGCTTCACCTAAGTAGGTTGATAATGGTCTATATAGTCTAAAAACACTAACCACATGCAAAAAAACCCTCAAGAAATCATGGGCAGTAAATTGTGTTGATTTGCTCGGATTGTGTTTTCAACAGAGAATCACATAGCAGAACAATCCAAAAATAAGCATATGATCCATTGATTTTGACAAAAACCAAGAAGCTAAACCCATAGGATATATGCGCAAATGGCTATCAGGAGTTATATCACTGGCCTATAACAACCACTCTTTCTTGAAGTTGCTTCTAAACTCATCCTAATTCTCATTTATAAAATATACATAGAGCTTTTGGATTTATCAGTAAAAAGAAATCTTCCCATTGTTTATGTAATAGGATTGATTTCGTAGTCTGTTACATGTATGAACTATGAACTAATTTTGTTTCCACGAAAATCAAATGCCCTAGCATGGAAATTCTTGCTAATTTCCTGAATTATTGATGGTTAGATTCAATCAACTACACAAATAAATTATCATCAAGTCATCTAATTTGTTAACTAAAGCACAAAGCAGAAATTTTAACAGCAGAAAGTGAGATTTTGAACAATTCACTCCAATACCAAAATCACATCTAAGATATATATTGTCTGTACTATGTATATTTAATTATATATGCCAGATTGCAAGATGATGAGGAAATTGTGAAGTGGTGGAATGACTACAAAGTAAGGGTAGGAGGCTAATGAATTGGAAAAATGTGTGACGCAATTTATTATTTTGGAAGTATATACGAAACTTCTAAGAACAATTGAACTAAGTATTGAGATCTTGAATAATATTTTAACTTATCAGCCCATAGAATATCTTTTGTCTATTTTCCTGCAAGTGCCAATAAAATAATTCCAAGTTTCATCCAAAATAACCAAACTGCCCATTCACATGACCTATATTATAATTATAATTGACTACTTATCCAAGGTTGAACCATAATTTTGTAGAAAGCACAGGCAATTTGAAAAAGAAACCCCTATATATAGCCATCACTAGTGATACCGCTTAGCATCAAGAATTACGACACAATCACACAGAGACAGATCATGAAGAACTTAGCACCTGTGTTTGTATTGCTCACTGTCCTTGTTTTTGTGGATGATAAAAGACAGCCAACATCATCTGGGTCTACTTCTGAGAACAAGGGAAGAAGGAAAAAGCTAAAGGGGAAGGCAGGGAACAAGAAGGGGAAGCACAGGGCATCTAATTAAAACCAAGTGTTTCTCAACATCATCTGGATGAATGATAACAAATGCATATCTGAGTTTGAGTTGTCCATTTAAAAGGTACTGTCTCTCAATTTATATGATTATTTGATTTTTTTTATTTTTTAAAATTTTAATCTGCAGTTTTCTTCTGATTATCTTTTTATTTTGCTAGTCTAAAAATTGTTATTGTATGCTTGACTGAATGAATTTTCTGTCTTGGATGAATTTTTTACTAGTTTTGTTTCAGACTTCTTGGTTATGAATTAGATTTTGATGAGTAATGCATAAAGCTTATTTATTTTTAATGACAATGTTTAGTGGGTTACGGGAGTTGGAGGTTAAAAGAGAAGGAGAAACGATGTTGGTGAGTTTCGAACATGGCCAAAGGCCCCAAACAATACATGCCCTATGGATTAGCACCGCACCGCACCTGACAATTTAGCTCAACTCTGTATAAGTTGTAGTCTTATACGGAGTATTACATTTCATTGTGATAAAATAAGAATGTCCTATGTGATCAATGTTCATTTATTATTTCACATATTAAAGCTTGCCTAAGTTATATTTGCTATAACATTAAGTTGTAGTCTTACACGGAGTATTACATTTCGTTGTGATAAAATAAGAATGTTCTACGTGATCAATGTTCTCCGTTTTTGTGGACATTATGAGAACTATTGAGAATTCCAATTGACCCTTGGTTTTTATTATCGACCCTCCTCTCAACTCACTGGTAGATGACATCTCTATATAGACATCAAAATATATAGCGATCTTTTATGTAGCATAGAACTCTCGAGTTGGGAAACAAATATGATTACTTGTAAATTTGGAATAATGTCATTGTTATAGCCTTCATTTTCACCATTTTTAGTAAATTTCATTAACCTCCAATTTCAGTTGCTCAAAACAGATTCATCATATTCTTCTAATAATTCCATTAGAGTTCTGCTACAACCTAGAAAATACTCATATCTTGTATATTCGTTTGTACAAAAGATAATTAAATAGAATGAGGTGGTTAATTTGATTTCTCACTTTTTAACAAAATGGCAATGGATAAGCTAATCAATCCCACCTAAATTCTAAACAGAGAGGTGGAGCCCTGGAATTTCTCTTTTACAGAGAGTGTAGCGGGTGGAAGGGAGGGAGTTTACTGGTTTGAAACAGAGAGGTGGAGCCCTAAAATTTCTATTTTACAGAGTGTAGTCTATGCAGGTCCTTAATGACATGCAAGAAGTTAGGTTAATCTGCTTTGAAACAGACAGTTGGGGCCTATAATCTCTCTTTTGATAGCTTGTCCCAACAAACTTTCAAAATATAATAGTTTTTTAGAAGAGATTTTGAGGCTTTGGAACACCTGTAAATTATCTTATATTCACAAAGCACAAATATGAATATTTTAAATCTCTATGTCATTCCTTTTAAATTGCCTTATCATTTTGTAAGCAAAACTAACCACTTAGCTCTCTTTTGCCACATAATCCATTAAGAAAGAGCACATAAACACAACATCCAGAATGTCAATTGCATATAGCCTTTTACATATTAACTGTAATGTAGAAAATGGTCCTTATTAGCAAAACTGGAGAGAAATGATATACATAAGGAGATTTAGGAACTTAACGCTAGAGAGTTGGCTAAGGAATTTACACGTGCGACATCGGAGTTGGGTTATGTATTGGGGACTCATGATTCTACCTTACTGGTTCTCTTTTCTTTGCAATAATTACCAAACCATAAATAGTCATCGTCATGATCTCTCCATTTGCAATTTCTAGAAAGAGTTTTGGAGATCATTCCTAACAGATGGGGTTGATGAGAAAATTTGGAGTTGTTTATTTTTATTTTTTATTTTTATAGATTTGAATCGACTAAAATTTGGATTTGAACAAAACTTTAGTTAGAATACAAGTTTTGGAAACTTAATTAATTTTTCTGTTCTGTCAATTAAGAATGTTTTGGAAACTTAATTAATTTTTCATAGGAATTACAAGTTTTTGAATTCTAAATTTTAATTATTCTTGGTGGGTGTTTTAGATAGAATATAAACATGAATTAAAAAAGCATTAACTAATAAAATTTGTGTAATAAAGTAATCCTTTGTAAGCATCTTGAAACAATTTTTTTTTTGAAAGGTTAATTCATATCCTGAGAGTCTGAAACACTTGATAGCATGATTTCTTATTAAAACTTAGAAGACCTCTTTATTTACTTTGATACATGTCCATGACTCCATTCTATTCAATTTCCTAATAAAGAATGGTCCATACCCTACTACTGTGGTACTAAAGTATGGTTCCAATAATAGATGGAAAGGCTTCAAAATTTTTATGCAAAGACAAACTACTATTCCATGTAAAACTAAAAAAATTTAAGTAAACTACTATTCCATGTAAAACTAAAAAATTTCAGTAAAGGTATAGACAACATATAAACAAGTTCTCCTTAACAATAATCAATCAAAACCTCCACATACGATGATTCCATACTCCCATGCTTTCAACATTTGAAAACAAGAAATAAAAATGGCCTCCACATGGGCCGATGTACCAATAAGGTAATAAAGTTCAAGATACACTGCAAAATTGGTACTTAAAGGCACCTGACCCCCCTAAGTATGAGTATAAAAAGCATTAAGATTGTGCAATCATAAAATAATTTTATCGTACATAAAGACCATATAACTTACAATATTTACATACACATGTATGCACACTAGTAAAAATGTACATGCAATGCAACATAAATGTATAACTTTTGGATACATAATAAATTCTATTTCCATTTATATAACAATATAGTACTCGTTCATAAATTTTGTAGGAATTAACTCAAATTCCGTTTAGAATGGTTGGTGGAAACAATGATATTCCATACATTGATCGAGTGATATATATAATTTGGTAACAACCACATATATATACATTAAACATACATATAATTAATATGGTGGGATCGATATATTCTTCCTGAATTTATTAAAATGAAGAACACTAACACATCATAGATCAGCACTATTAAAAAATATGATAACTATAGGAGACATGCATTATATAATCATCCAATACTTTATTAAACTTAATATCCTTATCAAAGATAGATGAACAATAAGAGATATATAGCTATGGATATATTTATCTATATATATATATATATATGATGCATGATATGTACAAGGAAAGTATGTATACTCATAGGAAAAACTGATTTATACATTAAACTGTGGATCCAAGCTTGGGTTTTTAGATATGGGACAGCTACAGAGAAAATTTAAAGGTTCAGTTAGAGAGAAAACAAGTTCAAGTATAACATGCAAATTACATACTATATTTTACTTGTGAAAATCAGATTAGTGAAGAAAAAACCTTGGCTTCCCAAAAGTAGACGTCAGTGTGACAGAAGGAAGTGAAGAGAATCCTCAAACTAAATTCCATTTTCTGTGGGGGTGCAACCTCCACTTCTTTGATCACCAGTGGCTTCTCAGCTTCCCATGCCACCGCAGCTACAAAACATAAAACACATTTAATCACACAAAACACTAACAAATCAACCTATATATAACAATTTTTCATGAAAAAAAGAAGAAAGATTAACAAACACAAGAGAAATTAGGTGAAAATACAACGAGTCAAAATTAAAACTCTCATTAAAAGAGGGGAAAAAATCATAAAAACAAGTTGGGACCATCAACCAACAAACCCTGAGTACCAAATTAACCACTGTCTCTGTTAGAAGTATGGGGCGAATCCCATACCATACCTATTTGAGTATCAATTTGGTGAATATAACAGGGGATGAAAATACAAACCTTAATTCGTGTCCTTCAAATTTAGGACTTCGAATGAGAGAGGGGGCTAAGGTTAGGGCTTGGAGAAAGGGGCGAATCCTTGTTTAATCTCAATGCTAATCAGCTGTGCCGCTATCTTCTTTGCTCTAACGCTGCGCTAACCGTCAATTCAACCCTCAGTGGCTTCGGTAGAAGGGTTGGGCTTGAAGAGAAAGAGGAATGACGTCTTGGACGGTCTGAGAGAAAGGGGGTGGCCGGCTTTCTTTTCATCTCCTTGCTCTGCTTTCTTATCTTCTTTCTTCTCCGGTGGCTTCTCCTCGGCAGCAGGCGGCGGTGGAGGTTCCTTCTGTGTTGCTGCCTCCGAATCGTGAACCAGATCGAGAAAGGGGTGGCCTACTTTTGATATATGTGTTTGTGTTCTTTTGGCGGGGGAGTGAAAATGTCTTGGTGGAAACTTTTATTGCTTATTTACGGGCAAAAAATGCACCTTAGATGTGAAATTCATTCTTTCCTCTATATATTTTTTAAGTAATTTTATCAATTTGGCGGGGGAGTGAAAATAAATTTTTATTGCTTATTTACAGGGCAAAAAAGGCGCCTTAGATGTGAAATTTATCCGCAAACTCTTTAATACACCGCAAAAAAACTTAAGTTCATTTTTTCATTATTTCTTGGCGGGGGAGTGAAAATTACTTGGTGGGAAACTTTTATTGCTTATTTATGGGGCAAAAAAGACACCTTAGATGTGAAATTTATCCACGAGCTCTTTAATACACCGTAGAAGAACTTAAATTCATTTTTTCATTATTTCCTGTGCATATTTTTAAAGTAATTTTATTAATTGTGCCTATTCAATTGGGCGGGCAAGTTTTATTGCTTATTTAAGAGGGAAAAAAAAAAAGGTCTTAAATGTGAAATTTTAGTGCTTATCAACGAGGAACATTTATCCCGTTAAAGGTGTACAAATATGCCATAAATATATCTAAATATTCACGGGCTCTTTAATATGCCGTTAAAATATTTTTCTACGACGATTCTATAAATTCTCGTGAAAGCATGTCCAATAACGTACCAATTACGAGGATTCTTTTAAAAACTCCGTAAATGGTGGTAATCACGAGTTAAAATAAAGAAGCCCCATAAATACTATGTCGTAAAAGCCCACTTTTCTTGTAGTGGTCACTCACTCCTCCGACTATGTAGGATTTTCCTTTCATGTTTTAGCTTTGCATTTTATTTCAGTTATTTACTTTCGGTTGGGATTTTATTAGGGGTCCATTAGATGGATTCCCGAGTTGTACTAATATTGGAGGTTTTGAAAAGTTTAGATTGTATTAGTATTACTTCAAGGATTATTATTTAGATTATTTCTAGTTTAATTATTTGTTCTTTATTCCTTTTGTACTCATGCTTGTTTATATACTTAATTCTTTGGTATTCCTTGGATCTGTGCTCGGACTTGATCACCTGTGACTCTAGAATCGATGGGTATCACACCCCGACCAGTAATTTTCATCGTGAAATAGAGTTTCACTGTGCACACATCACACTACAAGATTCAGCGGGTTGGTTACAGGTTGAAATTTGGTTAACCGTGTTGTTGGCTTTATTCATTGATGCATGTAGGAAAAATGTGATTGGTTTCTAATTTGTTATAATGTCTTAAACACAAGATGTTTGTGGGCAAAATAAAACCATTATTCTATTTCCAGAGGCTCATTCACTCTTATTATATTATATACCTAGAAGAAAGAATCTATGCATATATTTTTTGTCCATGCACACCTTTATTTATAGAGTAATGATAGGGGAATCGAAAAGGAATCACCGAATTAGTATCGAATTTGACGTGGTTGGTCATTCTTATCACGTGTTAAACAATCATTTATAGAAACTATTTAAGTAGATGAGGTGGACAAAAACACGTTAGATTCGATAATTATTTGGGATTAATTCATCGATCTCCCTATCATTATTCTTATTTATATTGTGCATTTATGTGGCTTTTTAGGTAGCCTTGAGTACCTTTCAAGCTTCGTCTTGTATTTTAGTTTCTTTAATATTCGTTGTGTTCGAACATCTTTATAACAATACTATTAACTCATCACATTGGACCACCACCTATTAGAAATACGAAGTCAACTCATATTCTTGTTGTATATGTTCCCAGCCCCTCTCTCTTGTTTCCTACATGTATGAATGTCCCAAGTTAGTTCTTAGTTTTTCGTAGTGCTCACGAATTTCTTATCAAGGCAATAGTAGGAAAGATATGTGCTTGAAATACACTTCATCCCCTTCTCTTATACGTGTTCTCTCAAAATACTTAATAACTGGTTAAGAGTTTTGAAATTCTTTTATCAATATTATTTATACGAGGCTAAACAGGTCAGATGTGCATTCTTTATATGTTGTTCACTTGGGTTTGGGCTAGACTGACCTAGAGTTGTCAAATTGAAGTTCTGGTAGAAACCCTTCTAGATTCCTCAGACCTTGTAGATGCAGCATCATAAAATTAAAGTCTAGTATTCATTTTATTTAATTTTTTTTTATTACGATTCCAGATATTCAACTATCAAAGCTCTCGGTAAATATTGCTAGTCCTACAACTTGCATGCATCAAGAATTTAATATAAAAGTGACATTATGCGAGAAACTCTTCACCATTTTCCTATCAAGAATTGGCTGTTTGCTTGTTATTGACACATAACTCATACACCACTAATTATAAGTTTTAGCACATTGCAAAATTACAACTTCATTCCAGAAGAATTAGAACCTATCGCAAAATTACAATTTTTTTTTTCATTGTTATTTCTCTTTACAGTTCTACACTTTTTTTCGGAAAATTACAATTCTACACTTTTATTTATATACATAAGTTGCTATAACACGCGCGCACAATGTTTTCTCAGACTTCCATTCCTATGTCCAGAACTTGATTTTGTGGCTGTCGCAATATGTCTCTGTTGAGTTGAAACTCTGGTTTGTGTCCACTCATCACTGTTTAACTTAATGTGAAAATAGAGTTACGCGGGGTGCAGAAACAGTTAGTTGATTTTAATTGTGATTAACTCCTTTAATGACTTAGATCTGATTATTAGGTCAACTTGCTCAATTTATGATTGATTAAATTATATGATCAATTTAAACATTCACAGTCACAAATATAAATACTGTAAAGTAAAGCAAGTAAAAGTTTAGAGAGATTGTTCCAGGATTTTTAGCAAAGAAAACTGAATTGATAAAATATGTCAACTGTTTGCATGGGAAAAACCTCATGGACTATTCAATCCAAAGTAAACCGATCCACTATGTTTGAAACAAAGTACACCGAACTATGACTCTGGCTCACACCCTATCGTTCTACCAAACACCAATTACTGACAATCCTCTGTCTTTGTTAATCCCCGTCCAACAGCAACTTGACCTCAGACTTATGTTTGATCTTTGTAGAAGATTAGCAGGTAAATCAGGCAACACTCCTAGAATGCTCCAACCTTTTCAAAGTGTGATCACTTTTACTTCTATTCTTCAAGATCTGAACTCGATGTAAAAGAATTAAATCTTGCTTTTCATTTGAAATATCTGAATCTTCAATATAGCTCCAATTCCGATGAGATAAAGAACAACACTACTAAAGCACTCATGAATATATGTGTATGCTCTCGATCATAAATAAATTCAGAATAATCAGATTTGATTTTCTGAATTTTCTCTTTAAAATGCTTTCTTAAAATATAGAATTGATTTTCTCTAAAGCCGTGAATAAACCAATGTGTATGACAAGGTTTATATAGAGTTTAGAAAGTCCTAATCCCTCAGAAAATATGATAAATTTCATGCATAGGACTTGGAAAGAAGTCTAGTCCAAAAAGGAATCAAACAGAGCAAGAAAGGTAAATTTCCATAACCTTTCAAGAGTCTTGAACCGGTTCAGGAAAGTGGGAACCGGTTCAAGAAGGCCAGAACTAATTTCAAATGATTTCTTTTATCCTTGAACCGGTTCAGGAATTTAGGAACAGGTTCAAGATGGCCAGTCTTGAATTTTTTCAACTCTACTGAAGTTGGACCTGTTTAGGATTTTGAAAACCAGTTCAAGATGGACAGAATGTAAAATCTTCCTCAAAAACTCCCAAAACTCTCCCAATGTGTTCTCACCACATCTTAAACTTCCTAAAGCATTGTTCACATCATCTCGGAGTGTAGTATATCATAAACAGTTAAACTTCTTTAAATCCGCATCCGATCTTTAATCTTTGAAATTGTGAATTGAAAAAGTACAATTCGATCGAACTTGTTTTGACAACGAAATTAGCCAATTATAAAATATATATCTCACAATCTCCCCATTTGGCAATTTCGTGGCAAAACCCTAAAACAATTTAGCAATCTACCCAAGCAGCAAAGTAAATTACAATGTTTGTTAAAGGAAATAAAGCACGGAAATTTTCTTGAACCTCATGAAGCTTCAACACATATAGCAACCTGTAATCTGTACATTAGCTCAACTACAACTACCTGTGAAGCTTAATCAAAAAAATAAACACAAGCATAAAATGACTGATTTTAATGCCTGAAAATCAACGCAATGTAAACACATGCAATGATTAATGGTTCTCCCCCTCAATACAAAAAGTTCTCCCCCTCAATGCAAAAGTTTCTCTCCCCCTGAATGAGAAGACTCTAAACTCTCTCCCCCTTTTTGTCACAAATTAACAAGAGTCACAAGGAAGAAATATCCTAGAAGTAGGAAGCAACCAACCATATAAATCTTGTAATTTGAAACCAATGAGAATGCAGACTCCACAAGACTATATGTTTCAACGCAAATAATCAAGATCAATTCAATGAAGTTCCACAAACTTAGTAAGTGTAGTAAAATCATCACCAAGTTCCAAAAACATATAATCTATCAACTGTTCAGATTTCAGACTTTAAATCAATGATATCACATCTCCTTAGAAATCAAACACTCAACATGTGCAAAAGACATTTTATTTATTTATTATTATTTCTCTCTTTGTGCTTCATTTTTCTTTTTGCACATTGGCAGCTTTCACACTTATGGGCAGCCAGCTCTTTCCCTTATTCCCATTTGTTTCGAGTCAAGGCAGCCTTCGGATAAATCCCAAAGGTAGCCTTTTCCATCTCAATTTTTTCAAAACAACAAATATTTTTTGTCATTTTCAAAAACTTTTATTCCAAGCTGTTTTTCAATTTTCTTTTCTTTTCATTCTTTTGGTCTAAAACACATAAATCAAGTTTAGATTCCAAGACAATGATCAATCATATCAACATTATCTTTGCCTAAAACAATGATATCTTAAGTAAATGTACTATTAATGATTCATTTACTATACAAAATAAGTAAGCAAAACCAATTGCATGAATTCATAGCCATTGTATGATTTCCACAG